TGTTCTTCTGCACATATTGGATTTGCGTGGCAATTTTTCCAACTCTTCGTTAACTTCGGTGTGATTCTTTTCAAAATATAATCAAACGTCTCCGGCCCCAATCGTAAATATTCAAAAAAACGGTCAGGATATTGGCGCAACTCTGCATATAGGTGGTGATATTCACCTAATGTAGAACGCTTTGCATTTATTGGATGTACATACATGATATTCTCTAGAAATAACCTTATGTCTCCGTAAAATGTACCATTTTGAGGCCACCGAACAGAAATAATCGTCTTCTTTATATGACATTTTGCAACCGACTGATGGGTATTTCAGCGTTGTTGTGCACACCCCATCAGCGCTTATACTCGACGCTTTCATCTATCATCTATGCTACAATCTCGTATCACAGCTCCGTAGTGAACGTACCCTACTTAGGTCAGTTCTTTTCTCTTAATAGTATATTATATACCGCGGGACTGAAGTAGTACTTTTAATCCCGAAGGTAAAGTTTATGGCCCGACCGAAGGGAGGGCCATAATTTACCTGAGGGGTTAAGACCACTACTTCAGTCGCAAGGTATATACGATATTTTTCGTACTTCCGAAACTGAAACACTTAATATGTATGGAGTTAGAGAACGCGTTCTTTCAAAAAATCGCTGCTCAACAAGTTACCATAGGAACTGTCATTGCTAGTGTCATAATTTTGGTGGTGGGTGACAAAGGTGTATTTGATATTGATAAAAAGCAGCCAAAGTAGGTAAAGAATTGATACCACCGAAATCCTAAAAACTATAAGAACAGCAGTACGATGCGTTTAAGGTGGCGTTTACAATGTATGGTAAACTAGTACAAAAGTATCATTGCGATTTCCACAATAACTTTGTTGCGAAGTAAAAGAATGACCTTCTGTAAACGATCGATTGTAGTTAAAGGTTTAAACTTGTGAATGAAGTAAATTTTGGAACAAATTGTTATCAGTGTGGGATAAAAATGGAAGATAAATATGGCTAATTTTTAAGATTCTTATTTCTTAAATAACAGTGTAAGTACAGGAATTAGCTAAATAATTTTTGCTTCATGCAAATGTCTGAACATTATATATTTGAATGAATGTTATTTCAACCAAAAATGTTGACTCTAAAGGCCGTTTTTGTGGAAAGAAAACAGATTTTGCATACGCATGCCTTTAGTGGTGCCAAGTTAAACTGTACAAAATTGGAGGGGGGGGGGCATGTACTACCCTTCACGGTATTCTAATGAAAGGTCTCATCGAAATAAATTGGTTTGTACAAAGTATAACTTTCCCGTGCGACTCTTTTTCGAGATCAGTGAGCGACGAGGCCCGAGGGGGAGGGGGGTGTTAAAAATTAATGTTATCTCTCATTGTATTCTAATTAAAGGTCTCAACGAAAGGAGCGGTTTTCCGTTTTCTACCAACTACTGCCCTTCTTTCTGTCCTCTAATCAAAGTACTGGGTGGAGAGGGGGGGAGTGGAACTAGTTTTATCCTTCATGGTACTGTAATGAAAGGGCTAAACGACAGGAATTAATTTCTACAAACCATAGCCTCGACCTCTTATCGTGTTCGGGTATATTCCCTTATACCTCAAGAACAGATTGTCGGAATAGGGTACTCACAAAGGGCGATTGAGACGTCTGCAGACGTCATTAGTGATGTCATATGCATATGCATGCCTTTAGTGGTTAAACTTCAGAAAATGGGGGGGGGCATGTACTACCCTTCACGGTATTCTAATGAAAGGTCTCATCAAAATAAATTGGTTTGGACAAACTATAACTTTCCCGCGCGACTCTTTTTCGAGATCAGTGATTTTTACTTACCTGGTAAACTGTGAATGCAACTACTTAAGTAATAACAGTTTTCACAGTGACCACATTTAATAATTAAACGAATTTATGTAAAATATGTAACGACTTTACTTATTAATTTACGAAATAAAAATTCACTGCACTAACGCGATGGAACACTAAATATACCTACTTGTGTCGAGAAAACTCAATTTCCTGTACCGATACTCGCATTTCATGATATGTAATAAAAAATAAACCAAACAGAATATATCTCTCTCAAGTTCATATTACCTACATTACAACAGAGCATTATCGTCAATGCGTTCTTATGCCAGACGTTTTATTATTTTATTTATTTATTATCTCTCTCTTGTTCTGGGCCCTCAACAGGTTTGCGCCCAATTACAGAGTGACCCGCATAATGCTTTTTAGAGGTGTCTCTGCAGAAGGTCTAATTCTCATCTCTGCAGATGATAAATTCACCTCAACCCAGGTTGGAACACCCGACCTCCGGATTTATAACCCAACTCTCTACCACTGAACCTCCATTGTAAGCTAAATGCCTAGTTAACGTTTTCTTGGAACGTGCTTAAGTCGTCCACAAACAAATGCCCACTAAAAGGGATTAAATTTCTTTAGGATGCGCTAAGTGAGTCAGTACCTTACATACCTAGTTTCTACGACTGGCCTGCAGAGAGTGGAAATGAACCACCACTGAAATTTTGCGTCTTATTCAGTTTCATCAATAAATTTATTTGTTATTTAAAATCTCATCTTTTTAAATTTTTGTCTTTTTTGCGAAATTTTTGTCGTAATTGCATTTTTTATTTTGCATTTTCGCTGATTTTTAACGTCATTAAAATCCTAGCACTATTTATAAGTATGTGCTGTATTTAGTTTCTTGCACCATTAATAAATTATTAACACGTTTCTCTTCTGCAATTAAAAAAAACTATATTCTAATTGATTTTCGAGAAAGGAATACTTTAAAATGAAGCAAAAAATTGGCCGGTAACCTATGCAATTACACCTGGGCCGTAAGTACCCAGTCCGCCCCTGCGCAAAGGGCACTGTGCATGCTGATCGATTAGGCTCAACTTTTGGAATTGTGTTTTGTATGGTTAAAGCTATGCGCATATTGAATTTCATGCAATTCGGTTCATAACTAACGGAGGTGTCAAAAGGGCCTACTTTATTTTTTGGTCTACATACCAATTCATGAACTCCGATCTACAAATTTGATAAAGAATCCACCTGCAAAATTTCACCGTAATCGGTCCATTCGTTTATGACTTATCGTGCTAACGGACGGACGGACAGACACCGCAAAATTATAAACTCGCTAGGAGTTCGTTAATAACTGTTTTATAATGACATGATAGTCAATTTAGAAATAGAATCTTGGATTTAGATAATACAAAGGTTGATGTAATCCTGCAAAATTTTCGCTAGTTCTTCGGTTCGTAGATATCCTTCATGAGGTTGCAATGAATTATAATTATAGGTCTATAATCTAACTCATTTATTTAATTATAAAGGTTTAAAAATGAAATGGTTAGTACTTTAGTAGGTAGTACAAAAATTTGCTCGCGAGCATGAAATGGAATACGCCGCAGCCCGGAATTATTAAAATAAATGCACTGTTGAACGAAATGTTTTTACCAAATTATTTACAGCTTTATTTACAAATTTTTGCTAAGGTGCGCTAAGAACTTATATCATTTTCAAATTTTTGAGATCTAAGCGCAAATAGTAGAATTCGGTGCTACATCCTAGATACTCATATAGGATGTAGCAAAGACACAACTATTCTTTCCAATTTTTCGAAACTTCCTAACCGAAGACGGCGCATGCCTAAACGATGGTGCAAAGAAAATTGCGACAATTTTTGACATTCCCTATTCAATTTCGTACAAGGTCAATTTATTATTTTTAGAGAAAATAGGTATTTTTACTTATTTGGGAAGATAAAGCACTTGGTAATACAATTAATTACAACGAAATTAATCGCGGTAAACGTCAGCAACCGAGAAAGCTGAATATGAATTGAATACAAATGCTAAAAACCCAGTTCTATAAATTACAGATATCAAATTACAGCGATCGTCCTCGGTATATTATTATCTCGACAGTTGCGCCTTATCTGTTTATTTTTACGTTCGAATATGGTAGGTCGCGGAATCTTGTGGTGGATAGCGACACTATTCTAATCTTGCGGGCGGTGCGGGGAGTGATTTCCAAATTCTTCAATGTAAACACCACCTTAAGAAATAGTGCCGCATACAAAATGTGGAACAACCTACTGAAATTGCTTTGTTAGTAATTTCATCCTTCCGGGATTTTCGTAAAATTTAATCCCGGCGGGACAAAAAGTGACACTTCAGTACTTGTCATAATGTAGTGAAGTTGTCACTTTAGTCTCGGAAGTACGAAAATATTGTTTTTTCCTTTGTAGGTACTTTTCTCAAACATTTTTGAGATATTCACAATTACGTTTTCACAGGAAATGTATCTCGTTGAGACTATCTTTTCGCTCTTTTAGAGTAGGTACTTTGCTACGACACTTCGTTCTGAAGATATTTGCACTGAAAGTTTTGGCATCATCAGTAGATGTGCCTCGTCTAGCCGTTCTATTTGCCCTTTGCAACTTTGTTTGCGAGATATTCGTTTCGACTCATCAGTAGGTATATGTCTCATCCAGACGATTCATTTTGCCTTTGTGAGCACTCTTCTTCCTATACACCGTTTTCTAGATATTCGCTCTTAAAGTAAGCGAGCATCAATGGATATACAGAGTCCGCCAGTGAAATGGATGATTTGAAGTAAGACTTGCGATGAGGTTGATGGGTGAAAGTAGGCGGCTTGTGCCTACATCCCAGGCAGAAGCATGACGTCGTAATCACGACATTTATTCGTAATCCAAGACGTCTACTTAACCAATAATATGACGTCTTGACGGCGAGAAAATGACGTGAACATGTCACAGGCCATCGACGTCATTTTTTAACGTATTTTAAACGTCCAAAGTGACCTACTTTGGACGTCAATGTTAACGTGATATGGACCATTCTTGGATGTTTACGTGACGTGGTATAAACTTCTTTTGGACGTGTACTTCTGACGTTATTTAGACGTCTATATCGCGTATTTCTGACCACTTTTTATATTATTGCCGTCTGCACGTATACTTCATTAAAAATTAGGCATGAAAAAATTTATTTAAAAAAAATTCAATACAATGTATAATCAAAATGTATAAAATGTGTACAGTGTCACAGGAAATACGAATGAAGTAATGGAAATGATACCCAGTAATCGGCTGCAAATGATGGAATGACAATGCACTTTGCTTGTATGTCAATATGAGAAATTATTTTCATATTGGTCGACAAATTTTTCATTTTGTATATATACAACTGTTTTGAATTAATGGGATAGTGATACAGTGAATCATATTCTTCAAATTCACTAACAATAAAAAAAGTATTCTTTCGATTGATGCATGCTAAAATATTTTCTATTTGTACAACTGTTTTCTGCTTTGTTAAGCAATAACAATCAGCGATGGAGTGTGATTTAACAGAAATTGTTATATCTTTCCAATGTATTTTTTTATATTGTCTGTAATTATCGTTAATAACAGATGTAGGGGGGAGAGGACCGTTAAAATGTTCAAATTTATATACAATATCAGGGTTAACAATAGGTTTAGAAATATTATTGAATGACATTTCATGTAAACGCCTACAAAGTTGAGCTAGTGGTCTGTTCGGGGTTCTTACTAACTGTTTAAGTTGACCTAGATAATTCTCAAATGGGAATGCGGAGTAATTATCTAAACAACCATAAGACTGAATATCGTCGGACACATGTGAAAGATAATGTACATTATAGACATAATATTCTATGCCATATATCTGCTCAACATGTTTTACAAACATGTTCAAAAGTTCTGAAACAACGGTGGAATTATGTATTGCAAGGAGATATGGAGACACGGCTATAGATATAGCAACATGGAGCAAAAGAAAATGTTCATATGCACCTAAGTCAATAGTATTTGCCAATATTAGTGGTCCATAATAAAGCAAGAATGATCGAAATTCAGTTCCTTTCCATCTTGATAGGTCCGATAAACTCCTAGGTTTCCTGTTTATTTCTGTTGGAATATGCAGTTTTATGAGAATTAGCTTTTGAGATAAAGTAGTAACTAATTGAGAATTTAAGCGAACCTTTAAATTGCCACTTATCCATGTGTGTAATAACTTTCTCATTACACCTAAGCAGATATTGTGTAAATAGTCTATCGGAAATTGTGACACCATACCAACAGAAAGTTTTAGTAGTGGAGACATCCCTAAATGATGATCTTCATCACTTTGTAAAACAAACGATTTGTCTGTTCTGCGTGTTGCATTTATTCCTTTGTAAACAACTTTTCCATTCACATAATCTCCACTTTCCATACATCGTTCACAACATGAGTAGCCACCGTGAGATTTTATGCACTTTATAAATGCTCGCGCAGGAGCATCACAAATAAAACTGTGAATTTTGATTTTATAAGTCACATCAAATAAATTTAATCCATTTGTAATTAACAATGAAAGCTCCTCAATAAAGTTCTTCAAATATGTGTCTAGCGGTTTAGGTTTAGAATCGCCGAGAAAAATTCCTATAGGGAATGGTGAAATTATGCTACTACTACTTTTAGTTAAACATAAAATGGGCCAAATTTGTGTATTTGTGCTTCGATACAGTGGGAGTCCGTCTATATTAAATGATAGTAAAATAGTATTGTTGTCAAATCTAGCACCATCTAGTATTAAATTATGTAATGTTTTTGTCAATCCAAAATGATAATATTCACCAGTATCTAATGGCAGAGTATTAAGAGTTACAGGCGTTTTTAACAAGGTTTTACTACATAATGGCAATTGAGGATGTAATGGATGTAAAATGCCTAAAAGAGATGTAACACTTGAATGAGGCACTTTGCCAACTGTGGCCCATGACCGCAGCTTAATTGCCAAGTTGTCATCGTTTTCGTTAGGATTGGTACATAAAGTTTCAGGTGGCGTACTTTCCATGTGCTCGTCAATATTTTCAGAAATTAACTCAATTTCAATAGGTGGACAAATTTGTATATCACAATTTTGAGAAGACTGAGAACAGATACTGGAAGAATCATTTTCATCACTTCTATCATGCAAAAGATTTAGCGGACTATGTTCTATGATATTTGTGTTTGCCAAGTTATTACGATTAACAGGACAAATAGTTTCTTTATTTTCATTTAGCCTCTGTAAGGCTTTCTGGACTCTTCTATATATTTGTCGTGTGCCTACAATTTCTTTAGTTTTATAGGAACTTCTCTGCGACATGGTACACATTAATAACAAAAGTAAAATATATAAAAAAAAAGAACTATGATTAAAGTAATTGCACTTATCTAAATTCCTTGGTTACAGTTCTTCTTAGGTTGTAGGGAATTGGAAAGTCGTTGCGGGGCATGTTTTAGCCAAACCTTTATATGGGCAGAAATTTCTTCAGCTGTTGTGTTGGAAGTCGTTAATTGAACAGCCCCTTTAACAGTACATATTAATGATTTAAAATCACTTTCAATATTAACTTACGAATAATAACGGTTTTTACACGCAAATCGTTGAATGCCTTTTTATTTCCCCTTGACCCATAGAAACTATACAGCTGGGCAAGCTCATTGTTGAAAATATTTTTTAAAATAATGTTCGTTTTAGATCCAATGTCACGTCCGCCTAATGACGAGAAATATGCTGCCTAGAAAAAAATCACTAGGTAGTGGCATTTTCTTTTATTGAAGCGACTGGCTTACCAATTCTGCTAAATGTCCATCATCCATCAAATATGATTCTAATACGGTTAATGAATCAATTGAGCATAAAGGAAATTTTACAGGAATATCATCGGGTAAAGTGCCATGAACAACGGTTGTATTACTTTGTTTTTTTATCCATGACAGAATTTGGTTATTCTGTTCCTTGATATGTAATAGTAAGGGTACGACTACCTTAGAATCTGAAATAATATACGAAATATGTACCTGCAACTAATATTATGAATAAAAAAAACTTACCTAAATTTTCACGTTCTTCGCCACGTACCGCAAGTGGGGATCTTGTTGGAAGTCTTTGTCTGTTGATGGCATCAGCACATGATGATGGACTAGAGGGGATGGCATCAGCACATGATGATGGACTAGAGGGTATTGTTCGGAAACAATTTTTCTTATTGACATGGGTGGATGGACTACTCCGAGGTTCTGGTTGTGAGTAACTTTGTCTTGAACTTTGTTGATTAACTATAAGCAACAGTAGCTCAAAATCACAAAAAAACAGTAACTAATTGCTCACCTTTATCCAGCGAAAATCTTGGAGGCCGAGGTAATGTTGCAACGCTCTCCTCTTCGCTATCGTAAGACAGTCGTGGAGGCGGAACTCTTTTACGTTTTTCACTGAATTCAGTGTCCGACTGCACATCGGAGGTAACTTCGGCAGTTTTCAATTTCTGTCGTGCTTTAAGAAGATTGTCTAAAATAAAGAGTAAAATAAATACATTTGTTTAAACGAGGTGAGTCATGTGTACAATTCCAATACACAGGTAGTAACACTTTGCTTTTTCACTTTAGTTGTGGTTTGGATTAACAAAAAATTCTACCTGTTTCAAAAAAGATCCTCTTAACCGGGTATAACATCCAGGTATCGCCAGGTTCCTCTCCACTGCGTAGTGCACTTTCAAATTTTGTGGGTTGACTATAGGACGGCCAATGAACTCTCCGTTTCATTGGCGTGAGCCAAACTTTATTTACAATCGCGATCTCCCCCGCATCATTTTCGCCATCGCTTTCAAATTCGATACCAACGTACGCCATTTATTCTAACAGAAACATGCACATGCACAATAATAACCTCAAAGTTGAGTAAGTTCAAAATTTGCCTTACCTGTTAATAATACCTTCGAAGCTCAGTCAGTCAGTCAAATTCAGAGACTCTCTAATGTATCTGGTCAAATTGCACGTCTTTGTTTATACGATTTCAATTATAATAGTCAAAAGCAAAAAAATAACCGCCACTTTTAGACGTATTCGACATTCGAGAGATCACAGGTTCAACTTCAGAACGCACCTGCGCACTAAGCACAAAGGATGTGGTAGTTGTCTGTCATAGGTGTATCATGTTTATGGTAGTAATTGCTTTAGCATTAAATACAATTAGCATTGTATGGTAGTATGTATGTAGTAATATGTTTGAGTTTTGAGGTACCACGAAATTCTATTGATATGAAAAATAATTGCAATTTTCAACGTCGTTCTGACGAACGCATGACGTTTTTCTGTGACGCCATAAGATACACGAAAATGGTACCTTTACACGACGTCGTACACAGGTCATAAGACGTCGATGACCGTAAATCACCTTTATATGGCGTCATAATGACGACATGCTTCTGCCTGGGGAGAACCAGTTACACTCCCACCATGCCCGCAACTCAACAGACATTCGATTAAGGGGCACATACAGAAGCGGGGCTGTATTTGGGAAGAAAACGGTTCCTTTCGTTAAGCCGTTTAATTAGTTTTGTAAGGTCAATTGGTGAACGCTTAGTGGGCAGACCTTCCTCATTTAAGCGATTGACTTTTTGGCTGATTAAGAATTGTTTTATTTACACAATAGCATACTGCTGTTTTTTTCTTGTATTCTCACATACTCATGTCACTTAGAAACTGTTGCTATTCTTTAAGCGTTCTTAAGAAGCTATGCAACAAATCAACGTTACTGACTTTGTACCATGCCAACTTTCACTCTCATATTCGGTACAATATATGTACTTGGGGTGGCAGTACTCACGTTCAGCGCATACTTGTTCTGCAAAAACGCGCTATTAGAATTATATGCTCTTCACCTTTCAATACGTCGTGCAGACCGATTTTCAAAGAATTAAGGATATTGACGGTAATAGACACCTACATTCTGGAGATATGTTGCTTAGGGTTTAGAAAGAAATCGTTTTTTTTAAATCCTGAACATGTTTACAACACTCGACAGAAGATGTACTTAAACCCTGGCAAACACAGATCATCATTGTTTCAAAAAAATTTAACGTTTCGAACGTGTCAAATTTTTAATGCACTACCGCCAAATATTAAGGCCATTAAAACCTACAAAAAATTTAGATTTGCATTAAAACAATTTCTAGTAGAAAAAGCGTACTATCACCTAAATGAATACTTAAACATTTGAGTTGAAAATTTGCCAAACATGCAGGGGTTTATTTCCTCCAAAAAAGTCCACACCCTAAAGCTAAAGATGGAAGTTTTGTAGTTTTTCCGTTTAGAAAAAAAAAACATGAAAACAAAATTATAAAAAATATGACAAATTTCGATACGACAAACTCAAAAGGTATGTCACAATTTAAAATGACTGGGGGGGAGGTGGAAGGAAGTGTGTAGTCGAGTACCATGCCGTGGCAGTCTTTCTCGAACTTGCAACATTCAACATTAGATGTCTCGAATATTTGCTTATAAAAACTTACCCTTAACGAACTTTGCGTTCACATTCATAATAAGGCAAAGCCTTTCGAGGAAGTCCAATTCGAACAGACGTTACAGTTCTCCAAATTTGCTCTGTTTCGCGTATGTCACCCTAACCACCGTCGACAATATTTTTTCAGCTAGTCGAAACCTCGACTGTAATAGTAAAACAAAGGGGATACTTTGAAACAAGGGTTGTCATTAGAAAGTTAGTGGAAGTTGAACCTGCAGTGTTAATAAAGTAAATAAAACACTATCCCTCTAAGTTCGGCGCCGTTTACGATCGATCAGCTACGAATTTTCTTTGAAAGCACACAACAATGTGCATGCTCCACCGCCGCGCAGAGGAATTTCCCAGAAAACCTTTTTTTTAAATCCGGAATTTCCATCAAAATCAGTGCAAAATCAGTAACCGAATTAAAACCACAAACGTAGTTAACGTTATTTTTTCTCCTTTTTTTGTAATGTAGGTAAATTAAATTTCTATTTTCTATTTGATTCAGAACTTAATTTAAATGGTTTCTTAAAAAATTAAATTAGTTTTTATTTAATGTACAAAACATAAAAATAAAACTCAATAACGTGAATGTCGGAAATAAAATTTCAACTGCCTTTACCTAACATCAAGCGAGAGCAAAACAAAAAAATCAATGTAGTCAAAGTGAATTTAATTTTCTCATACGTGAAGATTTTTCTAATTTTATTAATATGCACATAAAACTACATCAGGGTGTCCTTTAATGATTTATTAAACGCTATATCTTAGTTCATGCTGGCAATTTTGACTAATATTACTAATTAAAAACTTCAATTTAATCTTAATTATCATGTACACTATCATTAAGCATGGTAATTTAATCAGATTACTTCCTGCGTTTCGTATTGAAATTAATTATCTTGTTATGGAACGACTCTGCTCTGCAGACTAAACGTCAACTGTTGCTAATTTCACCATTGTATTTTATATGAACTGATGGTAATAAAGTCAAACTTTCCACTCTTCAGCGCAAAATTAATTAATCTGTTTATGATAAACTTACCGATTACGGTGAGATTAACTTTACTATTTCGTGTTTGGGCAATTTTAAAATCCACCCTACATCGATATACACCCTGGTCGGACTCCCGGATGTGGTCAACACCCAGTTCTGCCGGTTGCTTCTCGGGCATAAAGTAGGCTCTGTTTGCAAACACATTTTCATCGGACCACCGCTCTGCAAGGCCGAAATCCCGCTCTCTTCCATCCACACTGTAAACAGAGAATGTAATGTGTTTAAGTCAGCGAAAGACTATTGACGTCGACATTTTTTCATATTTTTTACAAGATTACTGCCAACGTTTTATATATTTTCGCTGTAAGGGCTCCTTTGCTTTGTCTGTGTTTAGAAATGAGTAAAATGGAATGAAATGTCAACATCCTCGAGGAAAAGTTTAAAATAGACGCGACTTCCCGGATAATAAATTTTCAGACCTTCTCTGGAAAAAAGAGGGCTAAAACTTTTATTGATCTACTTTAGCTTTACTTAATAGTTATGACCTAAATAAAAATATTATTCGTTGTTTTAGATATTTCGCGAGAGTAATATCAGAGAGCAGAAGTAATGAAGGCAAATCTGAGATTTTTCAACTCGCTTGATATTCTCCACGCTATTTTATTAAAAGCAATTTCTTGTTTGAGGTTGATATGGATACACCGCGAGTTTCACGAACTTCTTACCTTAGTTGGGACACTACATGTACGTGGGGTATTAGTTAGTTTCCAAATTTGTCTCGTGCTTCTGCATCGTTCACTTAGTTTATCGCGTTAAACTTAACAGACTCTATGCGCTGAAGCATACACGTTAAACGCAATGTATAATATTAAACTCGGCAATAATTCAAAGTCGACCCCAGGGAAGTAGCTCAAGTTTTGGACAATCGTATCATTAAAACGGGTCCCTGATATGTATAGAAATGGTCAATATTTTCCTAAATTAAGATATTCATAGCTGTCGCTAGAGGGGTTTTTACATCTACTGCAATCAAGACAAGTATGTTTGTCTTCTATTCTTTGCAAGGTTTGGTTACTTTAAGCATTGCGATTATTGTACCCCCATCAGATATCTTTCTGCAAAATGTACCCCAATTTGTTTACTTACAAGCAAACATTTAAAAGGAGATCCTTGCACCTACAAAACAAAATGCCAAGAAAACTAGTCTAATAAACCGATGCAACGAAATATCGAAGGATCCTCAGTATTACTATCACTTTTAACGACAATTTGTTTTAAAATTACATAATACATTTTATAGTGCATCAAATCATATCTTAATTGGTCGTTGAGATAATGCTCTTGGTCTTTCTCCCAACGATCTTGGTGCATAAATAACGATTTTGACATATATTTTGATCAAAATCCATGTGACCCCAGAAAAATAATTTATCATCTTTGAATCATACACATGCGTTTATCAAATGTGCATGTGATAAACAGGGAGGACAGTTATTTCGAGGTTTTTGAGACTGTCATCATAGGTGCAAAACCAATTTATAATAATAATAATAATAGTAACATATATTTACCCAACAGCATAAGGCCAATAACAGGGCAAAACCTTCATAAGCTATAACATGCTAACCATAATGCTTAAGAAAAATGAAGTAAGTAAGTAAGTTAAATCTAATTAATTTTAATACAATTGACAAAAACAAAAAAATTTGAAAATATCAAAAACACTAATGAGGTACAAATACATTCTTAGCAGATTCTAAGATGTGAGTTATAGAGTCATTGTGGATATCAACTAAATCAGAGATAAGGTTGTATCTAGAGCACATTAAATGGACGGGAGCTCTTGGTAGTAAATTTGTACGAGATTGGGAGACATAAAATGCATCAAGCTGTCTACTATTAAGCCTAGGCACACCAAAATTAATACATGCTAAAAGTTGAGGACAATCAGTAATATTGTTTAGTAATTTATATAAGAAAGTAAGACAAGTTATAATTCTCCTAAATTCACAAGATGTCATTTTAAAGGTATTTAATAATGTTGCATGATCAAATCCTTGACAGAGATACGCCCCAAACTGCTTTAACCATAAATATTTCAAAAATTTTCTTTGGATATTTTCAACTAAGCTTTTATAATATTTATAGTGGGGGTTTATTGCTAATCACCTAGAGTTTTCGATAAAATCCTAGCAGCTCATCATGGAAAGTAAAAGAAACTACAGCAAAAAAGTTTCTCGATGTAAAATTCCAAAGGACCGAATATTGCCAGGTCATATTTTTATGTATATGCTTGATCATACATTGAAAAATCGGATTTTTATAGAAAAGATGCGCAACTCAAGTAGCATTTTAAAATCAATTTAACTAAAATCCGGTCTGGAAATTTTTTCGTTTGTTCGTAAAAGTTAATGTAATCTGAATATTCGTAGTAAACAAAAGTTTTTCTAAAACGCGTATTCATTGGGCGAGTCGGGGGGCCGGGAATTCTTTTTTTCGAAAATGACCTACAGGAAAGGGCGGATTACTTTGGTTAATGTAAGAAATGAGCGAGGAAAAGGGGACTTTTTGGTTAATTTTAGTAGATGTAAGAAGTTTGTTGTGTAGTTCAATGTTTTTTAACATAGTCAGTGTATTATCAACGCCTTTGTCTATGTTCACGATTTTTATTACAAGAAGTGTACTTCATTTAAATCAATAAACAAGAAATTGAATAGAAAAAAAGAATCAGAAGCAACACCAGTTTGTTAGTGTCTTTTTGCGAATCTGTGAAAGAGAATTGGAGACAGGACCGGATTTTAGAATTATTAACGTTATAAAATAATGAAAATATTATTAACCAATACGTTTCAATCGATCGTATGTGCGTAATACATTGTTTGTAGTCCCTGGGCATCTTCCTTTCTTTTCAGCATTACTAGTTTGTCGAATAAATCTGTGTCCTACGTAAATGATCAGCTGTGTGTCCGAATTACGATCATTCGATCAAGGATATACGAACTTACCGTTAGTGTCCAGGGTTTCGCTTAAATCGGTTACAGATGTTGACGAAAAAGCACGAATCTCTTTTATTACCCGAATTCGTATATAAAGAAAAAAGGAGGGACAGGTTTAAGTGTAAAAACCATTTTATTAATTTTGAGTTGTCATGATTTATATAAAATATTCTTAATATCGACCGACCTATTTAATGATGTTATGCACATTTTCACATAACTGTCCCTTAAGTGTAGGATAATTTAATTTTTTCAAATAGAAACATACTTTTTATTGAATACTATTATTCTACAACGGAAAATAATAAAGAAACGTTTTCGCTATACACTTACCATTTTTTGAAGGCATCAGTCTTCCAAAAGCGCAAGGAAGCTGTTCCGTCAAGAATTTGGCACATTTTTATTCGAATAAATTCAGTTGGGTGTTTCAGATTTAAATGTTTAAAAGTTATATGCAAATAAACTCAAATACCCTTTTTCATATACCTTACAATTAAAATCAGATATTTAATCTGTACCTATGTTTTGGATGGATCCAATAATTAATATCACAGTGCTGATATTTAATACATTAAGTACTTATAATAACTATTCCATACATGAACGTATACAGAACTAATTACGCCAACAAAATGTTATGTATAAAGCACCATATACTTTTCTACTCGCTTTTCTATATTTAAAATAACCATAACATTAACAGGCAGTATTTTTGATAATACATCTAATTGATTTTGATGATGTATAATTACACTATTTATAGTTAGGAGCTTTGATGTAGTTTACCTCTGATACCTTTGTAACGCTTTTCCTCGAATATGAAATTACTCTCGTTCATGTGGCAGTAGCCGAATACCAATATTTTAGAGTGTACAATTAAATCTCTCGGTAAACGTAATGTTAATTTGGAATTTAGGTGTTCTCGGAATGCATAACTGCACCCTGTATATATTTTTTTGCGTACAGACCAGCTATTCGCGCCTTTGGGACCGTTTCGAGTGAACCACTTGTCTCGTATTTTATATGTACAGAAAAATGAGAAACATACCTGTAAATTGGAGTTCCCAAGTCCTCTTTATACCATAAGACTAAGAGCACATGATCGTTTGGCACAGACGTAGCGATATCGCAAGGAAGATACGCGGGGTCTCCAGAAACAACCTGAAGATCCGTTACTGACACTGGAAATAAAAGACGGATTACAGTTATACGCATTAAAGAGATAAAAACAATCAAAACAAAAAGGCAAAATACTTTAAAGGAAGCACACATTATACCAAACAAAGAAAGTTTAAGATAAAACAATATTTTTTGGCTATTGTTATACGTTACGAGAAAAGTTTTCGCCGATTCTAGTAAAGTTGGGTTCTTTTAAAGCTCTGTCAATCGAAAAGAAAATAAATAAACGCGTTACGGTAAATGTCTGCAGTTTCAACTGCTTCGGCCTCACATCTCGGGAAAGCTATGGATATCGAAACTTTTAATTCCTTTCAAATACGTAGAGCATTGTATGTAAATCAAAAGTATTTTTCTTTCAATATCCGGATTTAATAAGTTGATAACTGAAAGTAACATCAAATTTAAATGCTTTTTTGAACGTTCGATGGTTTAAATTTGAAATGTAACGTGCATTAATACACCTGTATTGAATTTCGAATATGCTTTGTTCGAGTATTAATTAACAAGAGCGCCTACCCGGTGTCTTGGGAAGTTTTATTGCGATTGTACAATTTTACCCCTTCTGGGTTATGTGCGAAAGCATTTAAATAATTTGTGAACATCAGTACATATTCATTATCTTTGCAATCTCGGTTAAGTTATGATCGGGTTTGAAACGCGAATGTTGTTGGAAACCACCACTTCCTTCTAAAGCGGCTGGCGCATTAAGATTACGAGTAGAGCGAGGCCCTTCAGGCATTACTCAACTAATTATATACCCTGTGTCTTGGGAAGTTTTCTTTTGATTTTTTACAGGTTTGGATGCGAGAACTGAGCTCACTTCTTGGCGTCGACAGCTAACTTTATGCAAGGTAAGAGTTGTCTTATATATTTTACTTGGATTTGGCCCTATACGTGCTAATTTTTGGTCCGAGATATCAATTTATTATTTTGTGGGACGTTGTTTTTAGATGCAGTAATCAATTTAATCGATCATTATTGATTAAGAGTTTGGGGAATTTCAATTGTAGTATTACTGAGAGTTGTGAGTAACGTAACTTATAATGAATATTTATGTGATACGTTATCCACTTGTGCCACCTATTTCGAGATGTAAGTCTTCGAAGTGAGTCTTATGAACCTATTATTTTAATAGCAGTTATCCCATAAATAAATTTGTAAAATAAAGTTTAAAAATCCTAATAGGGGAACCACAATTGGTCCAGTAATACATTTTTCTGTTATAACGTTGAAGATAAAATAAACTGTTTCGTCGGGGAAGTGGGAATTATTCTCAAACGGAAAACACGAGCTGAAAAATTGCTGCAAATGTTTGGACGACATAAATAACAAGATTGGATCTTGCTTATTTAAAAATTTTAATTGCGGGCATGGACGCGCTCCCTAAATGAACCGACCGCGTGTGTCGTACTGAAAATTTGTTTTCTGCTTTCACACATATAAGTATAATGGCGTGCAATCGGTAAGGGGTCTTTACCGATCATAATTACGAAAAGTTTCCGAGTTTCTGTCATTATACAAATCGAACAAACGGTCAAACTTGGCATCACATATAATTTAATCTTTTAATGTGTAATTTAAGTAGTAAATCATATGCCCTATGAATATTATGGTCAAATATAAAATGTAATTTATATTACATTAACCAAACCGTGGAATAATGACTGCTAACATTAGTAGGCCGAGTTCGTTTCTAGTGCTTGATTTTGATTTGGAACTTCATTACCATAATTACATTCAAAAAGTTACATTTCTTAGTTCATCTAACGTGTAAGTCCCAGAACGCCGTAAACTACTCTTTGTTACTTTCAATTAGCACTATCACATTTAAATGGTAATTAAACTGTCAGTTGCAAATTCGCCATATATCCCACAAAATTGTACGCTTTACATGAACCGACATTATTTATGAATTTCATGAAGGGTTTCACAGACTAAGAAATGCAGAGCATTTGAAAATTTATGGGATACCTGTTAAGAATGTTCGTAATCGGCGTTTTCTTTATTTTGAGCAATTTATGCGGGTGCATGCCAGGGTGAAATTAACGAGAATTAGTCTAATAAATAACGCAATACTTTAGTAACCCACGGTGTATAAATTAAAATAGGATTTGTAAATGATTTATTGTACCTTTGATATTAAATGTTTAATCGTAATAAGAAATCTGAACTTTTCACATGTGTGTACTCTGTCAGCGGTGGTCATTTGTCACCCTTTTACGTTAATATTTTATTTTGTACGAACGCCCCTTCATTCTTTTCGCCAACAACTAGTCACGTAATTTTCTTGGGAAAACAACTTAATGGCTAACATAAGATTGGTCTTTGCATGTAGATCCATTTAATAGGACCATGTTACAGTTCAAATTTCAATTTCCTATAGCATTTTAGTACCTGGCTTTATACAAAATTTGTTAGATGTCGTTTAAGGTTTTAAAGTAAAATTTAAGGCGATAAATGATAACGCCGATCGCTATTATTGGAATAATTGGGTATTGTTGCTTCGCACTTGGTCGTTGTTGCATCCATTTTGATATTAATCGAGTGCGAATATAAAAGTAATTGAGTTATCCTTAGTAAAGGTAGTTAGAAGTATCTAATTAGCATTGTCTTAGAAGACTTGATAACTCAAGAATTAATTGATTTAAACAGCAACTTATATCTGCAGGCCGCCCGTTATCTCAGGTATTATTTCTATTGTATTACGCGGTTTTATCGTCAATAACTATTTTAGGCCTGTTTATTTTTCCGTTTTCTTTCCCATTTTGGGATTTCGCCTACTTTTGATTTGGAATCGTATATAAAGGAGTTCGTCCGAAAATTAGACGTACCCTATCACCGTTTCTACTTGAAGATAATTGCCCAGGAAATGCCGCACGCCAAGAAGATTATCATTATCACCTTTACCAATTTATCAAAATGGCCGCTGTCGTCCCAAAGATAAGCTAAGCTTCAGTTAAGGTCAGCTCTCTTTTATATTTATTATCACCAACTATTGGAGTCGCCGAATTTCCGTTTACTATCGAACATCGAATATCAACTTTAACTTTCTTATATCGAACGAATACATTTTTTTTATTAAGTTATTATCACTAATTAGAGTCAAATTTTGAAGTAAAATTCTGTCAGGGAATCTACGAGGTCGCTCCAAAAGTTACTTGAACGCGTTATAAGGTTGCGTGTATATTTAGGGTGTTCCCTTAGGCGGTATCGTCAAACCAAGTCAGCATTACAGTATTTTAGTTATTAATTTTAAAACTTGGTTTGGGGAACCGGGTTGCGAGCGCTCCCGACTCACACCTACGGCCCTTCCGTCGGCACAATTATTGCAGTTTTTTTTGGTTTTATCACAGGTACCATAATTAAAATAAGTACCCACAATTATTATAGTTATTCCAGAATTCGTAGATTTCCATTTGCGTCAATTTGTTAAATCAAATATTCAACTCAATTTCACGTACTTATTGTTTTAATTTAATTCTGTATTCGAATCGTATCGAAGTTAATTTAATAGAATACTACTATCTTAGCACCGCGTAATTTATTTATCTATTTATTACTAGAGATTTTAATGGACTTATCCTGGGTCAGGTAAGCAGTACTGAATTGGTGACAGTGATTAAAGACCCTGGCGCCCTTATCTCATTTTTATCTATGCTAAGAACCTACGCCCTAGCGGCCGTGCATACTGTTCCAATAGAATTTGTTAGCATTCTCTGGAAATTATTATTTATTTTAAATTGCGGTAGCAACCATCTACAAACGTTTAACAAGTTTTCCTCTTTATGGTTTTGACTAGTAAATTCAACCTAACTAGATACATTTTCGTGGCCACGGTCATTGTGAATCACCCCTAAGTTAATGCCAAACCTAACGACAACATACGGAACAATTTTTTATACACAAATTACCTTATAAATATAATCAGTAATCACAATAGACTCATGAGTTTGGAGATTTTCTTGCTTGAACTACTTTAAATGAGAAACTGGTTTTTCTTTCAAATCCAATTGAATGGGTTTATAAATGGTAAAAGTACATGCACCACAAAGGGATCCAATTTTCCTTGATAATTTTCAGCTTCCAACTTCCTTTAATTTCACAGAAATATAATAACTTTACCTCAGATACTGCTACCCTTCTGCAGGTGAGTAGATATACAATTTAGAACCTGGACCGGTTCAAGCTCGCTAACCACCTGGTGGTGTCTTGGAGAGTAGGTCAAGATGAATCTTACCTCCCATGTACCGGTGACCTTCTACTTGCCACGTAGCGATGACCTTGGAGAGTAGGTCATGGTGCAGTCGTTTTCAAGGCCATCAGAGGTCAATGACCTCGTGTTTTGTGTTGCCATATTTCAATCTCAAGACTACCAAAAATCAACGACCCCATTTTTTGCGGTGTCACATTTTACTCCTTGGTCATTAAAGGTCAATGACCCGTTTATGTGAATAAAGCATGAATCTAAAGTGTACCAACCTAATTTACGTGTTCGCGTTCCAGAAGTATCGTTAGCTCCACTACCCTTTTTTTTCTAAAGTTTAGTTCTTACAAAGAAACATTTTAGTAAAGATAAATTGTGTTCTAACCTAAGCAAACTTTCATTTACTTTTTAATTAATTGTTTTGTTAATCATCTTTTGCACTAGTCTTATATTCGCCTTAGTCATTCCAATTTGCCTAATATACTCATCTAGCGTCTTTAATTATGCAAACGTATCTCTTGTTAATCTAACTAAATCGCTACTTGAAATAACAGCATCACTCATAGTTTCCTTTTCAAACTGATGTATCCAAATAATGACATAAATTTTTTTTTATTTTTAGTGAAATATGTGACGCACGCACCCTTAATGGATATTTAACAAATTATGAGACACTTAATAAGGATGTAATGATATAGAAGTGGGGCCAATGACCCTTGATAACCTTGAAAATGACACCTAAAAAGGGGGTGTTGACATTGGATTACTTCAAAAATTAAATTTGGCAACAAAAAATTGCACGTTCGACTGTGACAATGAAATTTGAAACAGGAAAAAAGATGCTATTGCTTTTCGATGACCTTGTGAGTAAATTTGGACTTCGCAACAATTGGGCCATTAACCTCTGATGACCTTGAAAAAACAATGACAGAAAAAAATAAAATCATTGAACTTTGAAAACGTTGAAAATAAAATATGACACCACAAAAATTGGGCCATTGGCCTTGACAATTAAATAAGATGCGGCAAAAGTGAGGTCATTGAACGTTGATGCCCTTGAAAATAAAATAAAACAAAATAAAAAAGGGGTTTAGTGACTTTAGAAGTAAAATGTGGCACCGCAAAGAAATTGATCTTTGCTGCCTTGAGGTTCAAATATGACAACACAAAACATGGGGTTACTGATAACATTGAAAACGAATACTCTCGCACATTGACCTACCCCCAAGGTCACGGCCGCGTGGCAGGTTACCTTCACCTTGACCTACTTTCCGAAATCGCCATCAGGTAGCGACCTTTTGAAAAATTCCGGTGAAGCAAATGTTCTCTGGTTTTTTCAACGATTAATCTTTGTGTTTATGGGTTATAGGAAAGCAAACACAACGGTTCGTTCTTAACGAGTTTTGTAAAAGTTCTAAATCTTTCTCATGTTACCGCAACAGGCGAACTCTTCACTAGTAACAATTTTACACTTTGCTTTTATTACAATTATATTATTACGAATTCCAAATACAAAATTCAATCCCTTTTTTGTT